AGTACCACGTGGTGCCTATCTTGGCTTCCCTGCAACCCTTGCCTCCGGTTCAAGCTGTTCTCGTCCTCCAAGCCTCTCAAGGTAGCGTTGGGATTCAGCAGGGCGGCTAGCACCATCATGCCCCGTTAAGTTTTAGTAGGTAGACGAGGTTTCCCATGTTGCAGGCTGGTCTTGAAATCTCTGACCCCGATGATCTACCATGCCTCGGCCTCTCCAAAGTGCTGGGATGCAGCGCAAGACCACCATGGCCTGGCCTATTCCGTTTACTTTCTTAAGTAAACTTGCTTTCACTTTATTCTGGTGGACCACCCAATACATTCTTTCTTGTGTGGAGATCCAAGACCCTCTCTTGGGTCTGGGTCGGGGACCCCTTTTTTGGGTACCATATAGGACAAGTTGGAAAGGAATTGGACGTTGAAATAGTATTAAGTCTGTCCGTATCTTGAACATGAAATATTTCTCCACTTATTTAGTTCTTCCTGATTTATCTTCATTCGTTTTATGATTTTCGTATATAGATTGTCCTATTTTTGGCAATTTTTGTATTTTTAGTTAGAGATGATTTCTCCCATGTTGGCTTAGGCTGGTCTTGAACCCTTGGACCCTCAGGTGATACTGCCGCTGCCTTGGGCTCCCAATGTACTAGATTACAAGGCATGAGCTGGCTAGTGCCTGGGCCTCCTTCATTTTAAAATTAAATTGTAAATTAGGATTCAAAATTTCGAATAAAGAGAAATTTTCAGATGAAAACACAGGCTGTTTGAGACCAACTCCAAATTGCTACAAAATTTCTAAACTAACTGCCCAATTGATCTGTTTTGCTGTAGACTAGTAACAGTTGGTGGGCCGGCACTGATTCCATTAACACATATTTGGCCCAGGGGTAGTGGGCTCTCCTATAATCCCAGCACTTTGACGAGCAAGGCAGGCAGATTGCTTGAGCCCAGGAGTTTGAGACGCAGCTGGGCAACATGTGTGAAATTCGATCTGTCTTTACAAATAACTTAAACAATTAGGCTGGACATGGTGGTGGTGTGCCTGTAGGTCCTATCTACTTGAATGCTGGCAGTGAGGCAGGAGATTGTTTGAGCCTGAGGTAGAGGCTGCGGTGAGCTGAGGTCACGCCACTGCCTCCAGTGGGGTGGACAGGAGTAAGACTGTCTCAACAAAGACGAAGAAATATGATATTAAATTTTCCAAAATACATGTTGATAGGCTCCAGAAAGAGTCTTAAATGCCTGACGGACTGGCCTCTAGGTGTTCAGTGTTTTCTTAAATATATACTTTCTTAATAATTGCTATTGGCTACCTAGAAAGTTCTGAAGATAGGATAATCGGTATTTTCTTTTTCATCCACGGTACGGTTGTCCCACAGATCCTGACAGAGCAAATTCAAATGTTCACTGCGCGTGCTCCCTTGGATTAATGTGCATTTTGAGCAGAAAAGACGCTGAACATAAAAGGATAAGTCTCAACAAAGAGCGCCATGAGTGGAACAGAATTCTACACAGGTTTTGATTTTTTAAGCTCCGCGGGGAGCAGGAGGCTGGTTGTTCCTCTCTCTTTTTTCAAGTTTTATTATTTTTTGAGCATGTAGTCTCATTTCTGTCGCCGCTGGTTGGAATGCAATGGCCGTGATCTTGGCTCACTGTGAGCTCTGGCCTTCCCGGGTCTCAAGCGATTCTCCTGCCTTCAGCCCCGAGTAGGCTGGGATTCAGGTTCGCACCACCATGCCCGGACTAATATTTTGTATTTTGGTAGTAGAGGACGGGGTTTCTCCATGTTGGGCCAGGCTGGACTGCGAAGTGCGTAGACCTCAAGAGTGATCTGCCCTCCGGGTTGACGCCAAAGTGCTGGGATTGACAGGTGTGAACCATTGTGCCAGCCTAACTTCTAGTGAAATAAAGCTTTTCACTAGAAAAATTTCAAAAGGTAGTACAGAATTTTCCACATGCTCTTTGCCCACTTCCCCCGTAACATAATATCTTATAACCATATTACATTATTATTATTATTATTATTTTGGAGATGGAGTCTCATGTGTCTGTTGGCCAGCGCTGGAGTGCAGGTGGCACAAATCTTTGGTCTCACTGCCAAGCCTCTGCCTCCCAGGTTCAGCAATTTCTACTGCCTCAGCCTACCTGAGTAGCTGGGATTACGGCCATGCACCACCATGGCCTTGGCACTTTTTTTTTTTTTTTTTAGTAGAGGACAGGGCCTTTCTCCATGTTGGTCAGTGCTGTGTCTCGAAACCCCCAACCTCAAGTGACTGCCCATTCTCGGGCCTCCAAAGTGCTGATTACGAAGGTGTGAGCACCCACGCCTGGCCACCATGGTAAACTTATTATTGAATTTAAATGATATAACACAGTTAACTTCCAGACCTCATTTGAATGGACAATGACTTTCTCACTCCTATATTGTTTTCTGGTCCAGGGTCTAACCAGGATCTCACATTGCACTTCGCTGTCAGGGTCTCCGTTTAAGTCTCTTGCCAATCTCAGTCCAGTTTCTCAGTCTTTGCTTCCACGACTTGACAGGTTTGCTGATTTTTCTTGAGCACAGGCAAATTCTTGGATTGATGTTGGCTTTTCTCTTCTGATAGAAACTGGGTTACATTGGTTCCCATAAGGAGGGGGCAGCCTGATTCTGGAAGTTGAGTTGATTGCAGATCTGGGAAGTCTTGCAGCCAGCTGATTTTGGGAACAGCAGTTAACTTTTTGGCCTTTGCCTTTTCAAAAAGCACAGCGGATGGCCAGGTGCGGTGGCTCACGCCTATAATGTCCAGCACTTTGGCGAGCTGAGGGTGGGGTGGGATCACCTTCGAGGTCAGGAAGTCAATGACCAGCCTGGCCAACATGGGTGGGAAACCTGCTCC